CAGTTATATTAATTTATAAAATTCATCAATACTAATCATCACACAAAAATTTATTAAAATAAATAAAAAAAATAATATAAAGTATAAAATATTACATTCATGGTAAGATTACATGAACTAGAGATAAATTATATCTATTATTAAAAAATCTAAATAAATAAACGAAAGTAAAACATTAGATTACTTATATAGTTTTCTATAAATCAAGTTAAAGTAAATAACTAGAGATAATATATTGTATTCAAGAATGCAAATGGGCGAGTTTGGTATTATTGGGCCCATTAATCATATGGACTATAAAACTAACATATATATTGCCCCACAAATCGAGAAGCTATGAAGTTCATCGATCACCATGTGCCACTGGTCCATGTGACTGACCACCATTCTGCACGCTTCGGGGTAGGCACAGTCGCATGCATAGCAAAAGTTCTGCTCCTCACAGTAATCATCAATACATCCCCGACAACTATTTTGGTCCACAAGATCTAATCTCAATGCTTTCATTTGACATAGTCTCGACTGTTCGATTCGTAATAAATTTAAATGTATTATCTATTGGAGTTTTTATCGGTAGTTAATATATTATCACTTAAAGTTTTATGTATAGTTAAAATGTATTACTTTTTGAAATTTTCTGGATAGTTAATATACTTCTCGTTTGAGTCTTAGGAATAATCAATGTGTTAATCGTTTTTGTTTCATTTGAATACAATAGTTAAGAATATGTTTATAAATTATATTGTTGATTGCATAAACAAAAACAATAACATACTTAAATACGATTTTTCACAAGAGAGATTTATTTATCTACAAATTGGAATCTAACACTAGAAGGTTTGAGTGTTTTGAAAAAAAAAGATAAAGTGAGATAGTAAATCTTATAAAGAGTGTGTCGTTGTCCAAATTGACAAAGGCAAGCAATTATAACAATTTGAGTCGTCATATGAAGTCTCTTTTTAGCTTCCAAGACAATTGGGAGGTGATGAAAAATAGTTATGAATAATTAACAAACACCACAAATTGGTTGAATGTCCAAATGAATGCATTGAAAGCATGACCTGTGAAGGATAGGGTTGCTTTGTACATACTGTATTCAGTTGTTTATAAATTCAAATTTGAGAATTTAGCAAGTGTGAAATCTTTAAAAGAAGCATGGGATACACTATAGAAGACTTATTAGGGGGATGATTGAGTGTTCAACTTCAAAAACTTAGGAGCAAGTTGAAGTGCATGAAGATGAAGAAGACTTAAGGAATAGTTGAGTACATAACTAGAGTAGAAATCGTGGTAAACCAACTTGGCAGAAATGGAGAGACACTACCTACTAGCCAAGTTGTGGAGAAAATCTTGAAGTGGTTAACCGACAACTTTGAGAATGTGGTGCGAATGATCTAAGGACCTGTCAACACTAAGAGCTCGTCAAATCTCTTCTGGCGCACAAAGTAAAAGAAAAAGAAGTGGGAGCCACTTGATCAACTACTCCAAACAAATATATTAACTAAAATCATAACACTCAAGGTAGAGGACGAGACCAAGGAGGTATAGGAAGTGGTTCTGGTGGTAGAAGTTGAAGACAAGAAAAAGAGAAAGAATAATCCAGTAAAAAAAAGTAATGCGAAAGAGTACGAGATCCACGAAGAGGAGATCGATAAATAAACTCAAATATTGAGTGCTTTGAATGTGGCAAATATGACCATGCAAAGGAGTGCTACTTGGACAAGTGTTTAGTTATGGTACAATCAAACATTTTGCAAAAGATTGTCGATCCAAGAATGGAAGAGAAGAAACAAGCAACTTTCTCACATATGATGTTGAAGAGAAAAATACTATGTTGTTAATGATGCGAAAATTGGAAATTGGTCTAAGTTCAGGGACCATTCATACAATGCTTGGAGTCATTCTTAACATGGGTAATAGCTTGGGCACCAAGTACATAGAACTGAACAACTTAGTAAGATATTTGAGTTTCTTAGGTAACCTAGTAAGGCGCATGGATATCTCAATAGCCTCGTAGCGGGTATGGAGAGTTCGGTAGAGAACACAAATAACTTGGTAGGGAGCCCAGGTAGCTTAGTGAAACATTTAAATATCTTGAATAAGCCAATGGAGTAAGTGGAGGGCTTGAATAACTAGATGATGCGTATGGAAAGCTCAATGGTGCATCTATACAACTCATATATCTCAAACATGTACAGATACGAGCTTGTTATTCAAAGGTTAGCTTGCAAAAGGCGATTTGCAACATAGAACAAAAAAAGGAGGTTAGAGACAATGCAATCTTACATGCAAGCTTATAGAAAAAAGCAAGTTTTGCATAAGTGACGCTTGAAACTTGAGCAAGGTGTTTCAAGATTGCAAGAATAGTTGCAAGCCAAGAAATATCTTTGAGTTGCATTGAATGAGAAGTGGTGACTTAAAATAGATGAAGAGATCAATGCGATTAAGCATAAAAATACGTGAGCGTGGTCTGATCTCTGAAAAGGAGCTCGGTCTTATTAGGACAATCAGTATCGCGTTTAATTAACAAGTGTGTTACGGTCAATAACCAAGTTAAAAACAGTGAAATGGTTCTTTTTAAATTCGTGATTTTCTTTTAAGACTTTTATCAAATAGTTTGAATGCTAAAGAGATAGGGTTGATAAAGAAAATCAACATAGAAAAATTTTATCCTGGTTCGAATCAAAAGATTCTACGTCCAGTCGTTAATCACTCACTATAAACAATTATTAACTTTTGACTAAAATATTAAGATTACAATAGGATGAAATAAAGAGTAAGAACAGAAAACACCTTCCTTCGACAAACGAACGGAAGAACCTACTCAATCAACTTGAAGAGAATCACTTCAACCTTAAACCCACTAAGTGCAAGCTTCTCCTATTCACAAGACTTGTATGAGCAAACTAACACTTGAGAACTTCCTCAGACAAATTATGTATTCTCAAATGACCTAGATTCCTTTTCACTCTCTTCCCTTAGGCACACAACTTTAATACTCTCAAAATGAAAAGATTTTTTCTAAGAGCTGTGAAGACCTCTATTTATAAGCCCAGGTTCGTGCAGGGTTAGAAACTGAAAAGACATCTCCCAACTACCAGTAATAATCGATTATCATAAGTTATAATCGATTATTTATGTTCGCTATGGGGTTTTCAAAAAGAGATAATTGATTATCCTGAGGAATAATCGATTATTTGCGTGACTTAGGCAATACTGACTCAGACTGGAGTAATCAATTATTTTAAGCAATAACCAATTATTTGCGCGAGCAACTCTTTTTCAAATGAACACGTGATAATCGACTATTACACCAAATAATCGATTATCTGTGCAAACTTTCTAAAGACAGGAAAACTTCTAAGTGTTTACATCAACAAAGTTATTCCTATTACAATTTATTCTACAAAAATGTTTTTAAAATAAATACAACAAGAGTCTTGAAGTTCTTGATCTTGTAGCATCATCAAAACCATAATGTCTTTAAGACACCAATGGTCCACATTGGTAACAGTTCTATTACAAGAACCTAGTTAATAACAAGTAAGCTATAGTGAGAGTAAAGAAAAAGTTGACTACGGTGAGAGAAAAGAACAAGTCAGCCATAGTGAAAGTGAAGAACAAGTTGACCATCGAGATAGTGAAGAACTCACTATTGATAAAAGAAGCAAGCACGATGTGCGTTTTCATTCATTTGAGAACAAGAAAGTAAATATTAGTGATTGCACATGGAAAGTTGAGATGAATGATAGAAGTGAGATGAAGGACAAAATAACCATTTAAGTTTACAAGGTAGTTTTGTTGGGTTTCGAATAAACTTAAATGTATTAGCCATTAGAGTCTTTATGTGTAGTTAATGTATTAGTCGTCAGAATCTTATGGGTAGCTAGTGTATTAGTCATTGGAGTCTTAGGACAGTTAATCTATTAGTTGGTTTTATAAATTTTTGTCTATTAAAGTATAATGGTTAGAAAATCATAAGTCAATAAATTGTATTGTTAACTGTATGAATAACACCACAACATAGGTGAATAAGTTTTCTCAAATGAGAGATTTATTTGTTTACAATAACAATTCACAAGTAGAGATGGTAAAGATACACACGTCTTTGGATATTTACGACTAAAATCCACTATTGGAAGTGAATGGATAGTTCACACGAATACTCACGAATAATGAATAACAAATAATTTAATACCTGTTTGTAAACGAATTAAATGTGATCATTATATTATCCGTATCTATAACTATTTATCACAAGTAAAAAATTAAAATTAAAATTATATTATATTTTATATTTTTTATAATTTTATTTACATTTCATTTTAAAAATCTATAAATTAATTTTTTTAAAGACCCCGTGATATCATGAATAACCTCAAGTTTTAAAAAATCTATTAATATTTTTAAAGGGATATATGGGTAACGAGAGATTTTAATGTGAGTATGGATAGAAACTTCCCGTATCTGAACTCTTGTCAACACTTACTCACAAGTAGGGAAACATATATCTATTCGTGTGGTGCTTTTGTTTCTTTTATGGACCCCAATATGCTAACAACAAATTTTAACAACTTTTTTTACCATGGTTTCTATATTTGAAACCGACCACCAATCAATCAGAAGTTACATAAACTGTTATAAAAATGTTGTTAAAAAAGTGGTCAGAAGAATATTTTTTTTTATTAATAACTAATAATGCTCTTGGTTATTGTGTTGAGAAAATTAAAATATCTTTACAATATTGAAGAGAAAATGATATAGATACTATATGGGATGAAGCTTTAAGGATTTTAGTCATCAAGTGCAGGTTTCAAGCTAATTGGGTATGTTTATGTGTAAAGTTGACGCGGTGAAAAGAACTCTTTCCTAGAAAATTAAGCTGTGTTTTATAATTGAAGTGTTTCAAGTGGTTGATGTAGGAGCCAAGATGATAAAGGGTCTCACGCATAATAACACGTTGCATACTATGAGTTTAACAGAGTCAGTGAGCATGAGGTCCATGTCACATTAAAAAAGGTCCAGTTTCACACTGTCAACGTGAAACACCCCACTCCATTTTACAAGGCAACCACTCTATTTATCCACAGCATGCACCCTCCTAGATGCACAAAAATCACACTTACACACACACACACAAAAACTAAGTCACCATGAACAACTTCACACTTGCATCCATTTTGACTGTCATTTCTGCATTACTCTTCTTAGCAACTCATTTGACTAACACCCCAACAAGAGCCACACAGAAACACCTCCATTTCCAAAAGCACATACAAGTAGCTCAATCCACGTGCCAAGGAACACTCTACCCCGAACTATGTGTCTCAACCCTTGCCACATTCCCAGATCTTACCTCAAAATCTCTCCCACAACTCATTTCTTCTGTGGTCAACCATACCATCTACGAGGTAAAATCATCCTTCTACAACTGCAGCAGCCTCAAAAAGAAGATCAGAAACCTCAACCCACTTGATCAGAGAGCCCTCGATGACTGTCTCAAACTGTTCCAAGACACAAACCTGGAACTCAAAGCCACCATCGATGATCTCTCCAAGAGCACCATTGGGTCCAAGCGCCACCATGACTTGCAGACTCTGCTCAGCGGAGCAATGACCAACTTATACACGTGCCTCGACGGCTTTGCTTACAGCAATGGGCGCGTCAGAGACAGAATCGAGAAGAAGTTGCTTGAGATATCGCATCACATGAGCAACTCCTTGGCCATGCTGAAGAAAGTTCCTGAAGTGAAGAAAACAACTTCGAAATCTGAGGTTTTCCCCGAATATGGAAAGATGAAAAAGGGTTTCCCCTCGTGGGTGTCCCCCAATGACAGAAAGCTTCTCCAAGCGTCTGTCAACGAAACCAAGTTCGATCTCGTCGTTGCCAAAGATGGCACTGGCAATTTCACCACCATAGGGGAAGCACTTGCTGTGGCTCCCAACTCCAGCACAACCAGGTACGTAACATAAAGGTTTTTTCTTTACGTGAAATTGATGTTATCATGAATTACAAAATTGAAACATAAAAATTATGAGAAGTTTAAAAAATCATTGTATAACTTTGCAACTAATAATGTAACTATAAATGTTGACTTTATGCATCATTGTATTATGTTTATTCTCACATAAGATTGAACACGACACAGTTGTTAAACATGTTAATTATATCTGTGTTGTTAAATGTGTGTGATGACAGGTTTGTGATACACATAAAGGAGGGGGCATATTTCGAGAATGTGGAAGTGATCAGGAAGCAGACGAATCTGATGTTTGTTGGAGACGGCATTGGGAAGACAGTAGTGAAAGGTAGTAGGAACGTTGTGGACGGGTGGACAACTTTTCAATCAGCTACTGTTGGTACGTCTTCTTCTTCCTTCCTTCCTTCGGCTAATATTGGATTAATTTTTTAACTTACTTCTGCTTCAGTGGTTTGAAATTGCACCTTAATTTTAAAGAAGAAAGAAAAGAAAAGATAAATTAGGGGAGGCCATAATAATCACTGTGGTATCTAGTTAGATTTAATCAGTAGTTTTGTCACTTATTAAATGGTATACCCTGCTATGTCAAAGACAGAAAAAATCATTAGAAAAGGTTGGAACAAGAGAAACAAAATGGCAACTTGATGAGGAAGCCATTTAAAAATTAATAGAAAATTAAGTTGGATAGATGAGTTTGCAGTTAAATTACATGATATAGGAAAATGGTTTTAAATGGTTTGAACAGACACCGAGTGGTTGGGTTTGTCAAGTCAGGGTGGTGCAGTTTACCGCGTGCATTGAATTGAAAAGTAGCGTTGTATAGGATGAAAGCAGAGGCTGATGCATTTTGATGCGCTCTGCGGTCCTTAAAATTCAGATATCACAGACTAGTGTCGGCTATATAGCAAATCCTTATTAATGTTACGACAGTTTGTAATTTAGATTCTTGTCATGTACACCAACTTGGTTTGGAATGTCTGAAATAGAAGTAGGGAAATTTGAAAAGATAAAAGGCTTTGCTCGCTTAAAGTATATTGGAAGAATCCGCTTTCCCGTGAATGAACATAATGCTGAAAAATGATAGGTGATTGGTCCATGTGTATT